AAAATCGGAGCCACTCTTATCCCAAGCCATAACTTTTCAGTACACAGTGGCCCAGTTTAAGTAAAGGCTTAATCCTTGAAGGGAGTCAAAAGACCTAGATTCTAGTTCCAGCTCAGTCAAGAAACAGAAGTCATTTCACCTGAATCTCGAGTTCCACAATTGTAAAAAGGGTGTTGGGTCCTTCCGCACCCAGCGATTCTGGGGCCAGAAGCCAAACGGCTGCCCCGCCGAGGAGGGAAACCGTCTCTCAGAAGACCCCTGGGTCACTGATTCCCTCGGTTTCTCTGACCGCCGGGAAAGGGCCTCACCCCGGAAGCAAACCAAGTCCCCTACACAGACGCAAGGCCATGCCCTCGGACCTCCGTTCCCTGCGCTCCCCACTCACCTGGCCCAAGCCACTCACCTGGCCGCAGCCCACCGCACCTCCACCTACAAGATACCGGCTCCGGCTCCCACCACCAAGTCCAGCTCAGCTCTCAGCCGATTGGTCAGTGCCCCTGTTCGTCACGCCGCCCCACGGCCAATCAAAGAGCGCCTCCTCGGCTGACGAGCGGAAGCAAGAGACTCAGAAAAGCCGCGCCGCCATCTTGGAAGGGGGCGCGACAGACGAGCCTCGCTCTACAAAACCATTTTCTCAGCACACACTTCTCTCCGTGTTCACCTCTAAACGTTTCTGCTTTAGAATACCCGGCGCCTGCCGTACTGATTCCTAGGCTCAGCCAACACGCCTCAGTGGTTCGCCCCGATCCAATATGACGTCCGCAGGTCTCAGTGGGAAGTCTCCCTCATCTCCTTAGTTACCGAGAAGCGAGAAGGATGACGTGTGGCCCCGGAAGAAGGAGAGGCGCAGCGTGGAGGAAACTGAAGCTGGCCGGAAGGAGGCATCAGCGTGTGGGAAGGAGCGGGGCGGAGGGAGTGTAGGGGCGGTGAGGGTGAAGAGGCTTACTTACGTAGACCTCTCTGTGGGGCCTGGCCTTCCGGTCTAGTTAAGCTTCATTGTGAATTCCACAGGTTTGATAGTACTTCATCCCGTTAGAAGGTTTCCGCCGCTCGCTCGCTCTGATGGTAGCGCTTTGCGGAGACTGGCTCTAGCGCACAACTCCTCTTTGCTTATCTTTGTCATCTTTCTATGAAGAGGTAAATAATTGAGAACTGTCATAATCAAGCACGTTAGGAGACCAAAAAACCTCGTAACTACATAGAGCGCAACTTCTACAGTCACCACAACCGTTTTTACGCTTTCTTTAAAAAGCAAAAATGAAAAATGACCCAGAGATATATAGCCTCTCTGTAGCTTATAAAAATAAGCAAAACTACATAAACTTAAAATTGTGCTTGGAACATATTTAGGCCTTAGAACATATTAGGCTTAGAACATATTTAGAACGTTCAAGTGAAATGACACCTGTTTCGTGATTGAGCTGGAACTAGAACCGAAGTCTTCTGACTCACTTCAAGCAGGCCTACGATTAAATCAATTTAATATTAGTACAGTTTTAAGGTTACAGATAATAAATATTCGTTTAAGTCGATGTGTTATGGAACACTTAATATAAAAAGTTTGTCAGCTTGATCAAAATGTACAGAATAGAGAAATTAAGACAAAAAGGACAAATTAAGTTGTATTAGCTAAGCTTCATAAATGTTTGGAAGTTGAATTCATTTTTGCTCGCTATTACTTTTTCTCTAAACGGTTGGAAGAATACAGCCATAAAGTTTGGAGAGTGTTGGACAGCTCCTCAGCATACTTACATTAAGTGCTTTGTACTTTGTAGACATTTCATAAATTCATCAAGCCCCTATACGTGATGCTTAGTAGTTAGAACATGGGACCAGGCAGCTATTAAGATGTTTTGTTTTTCTAATTTTAAATGTAGTGTATGCTCATTGTATATAATTATGTACTTAGATATTAAAATTTTAAATCTAAAAAAAAAGTTTGTCAGCATACTCACTCAGTTTTGTTGAGCTAATTTACATTTTTCATGTTCCTAAAACATGTAAGAGTAATGTTAAGTCATTTCATCGTTACACTTGTATAAATTTAGGAAATTCAAATGAATTCTCAGTAAGAAAACAAGCTGAATTAAAATACACACTTGTATTATACTTCACACTGAGAAAAAACATAGCTGTGTTTTTTTTAACCAAACATTAAAATATCATTTGGCAGAGATTTGCTTTCATTATTTGAACCTGGATTCTTTCTGTACTAGAAATTTATGTAAAAAGGATGTATATTTTTAAGTCTAGCACATTTAAAGTATTCGATGTTTAATTTCCTTATGGGAATTTTAGGAATAGATGATTTATGTAAGTGTGTATTTATCTCCATAAGCCAATCAGAGCTCCTTTAAAAGATGCACTAACCTAATTTCATGTTCTTCAGCAACATGATTTACCTGGCTTTGTCAGGTGAATCCATTGGGATGCTGGTGAAACCTCCAAAATTGTTAAAGTTTTAAAAAGGTAAAATTATAGCCCTCATCCAAATATAAAATGAAAATGTGTCAAAGATTCTACATAACTCATTCACTAATAAGGGAACCAGTAAGGACGTTCAAACTGGTTCAAAGAAAAATTTGATTTATAGAGACATTCTCTACCACACAAAATTCATTTGCATTGTTGTGGACAGGGATCATTTGCATTGTTATGGGCAGGAAATATTTGTTTTATTATCCATTTTCTGTAAGTTAATTTCTGTCTCTACAGAATTATAAAATAGTTTAGTCAAAGATAAAGGCACACACCCTTGCGATCAGATGACCCCAGAAGTTCCTTTAAAAGATTCCCAGCATTCCAAAGAAAGTTCACTCAGTAATCTCTTTTGACTATTTGAAAATCCGTCACAGTTTTTCTGAAATATGATTCATCATCTATAATCTACATTCTGTATTTCTTGCTTATACTTCTCTAACATCAGATTCATATATTCAACAACTTGCTGGATATCTCTGGGTCTTCCTGGGCATCTCAATCTCATTATGTTCTAAACTGAATTCATATTTCCTCTTCCCCCTAACCTTCTGCCTCTTGTAGTTTCTCTTTCACTTGGAGATACCATTCTTCTACCAGTTGCTCAGCCTGGAAACTAGAGAGTTATCCTTGGCCCCTCCTCCTCTCATGGGGTTCAAGAAACACTACCCCCAAATATGACACCTTAGCATATTGAATATTTTAACCTGAAGGAATTTGAGAAATGATACATGTAAGAAGGTCTCTCTGATCTTCTTTCTCTCCCCTAAAGCAGATCCTGACTTTCATGTGAGAAGTGCCCTTCCTGTACCAGAAGGAAAGGAATAGTCTTACCTTTGAAGATAAATTGGATGAACAGGCCTTGCTAAGTTTCCCAGAGTTTACTACCCACACTGCTCATCTCATTCTGTTCTATCTCCTTTCCCCATGACTTTCCACTCTTCATCAAATCTAGCATAAAAACAATCAGGTTTAACTGTTTCTTTGGGTCTTCATATCCTTATGAAGATTCCCATGTCATGTAAAACTTATATTAAATTTGTGTTTTCCCTCTACACTTCTAACCCTCCAACCCTGAAACTAACAATAAATCACTTGGCCCTGTTGGTATTTTATTGCAAATATTTCTCAATTCCATTTATCTACTTAGTTCAAACCCTCATCCTCTCTCATTGGATTACTGCCACAGCCTCCCAGACAATCTCTCTGCTCGAATTTTGCCAAACACAAATCTCACATTGGTTGTCAGATTTTTCAGAATCATACATCTGACTCAGACATTTCTCTTGCTTAAAACTCTACATAGTTTTCCCATAACTCACAGAATAAAATAGAGACCCATTACTGTGGGGCTCAAGGGGCTCCATAATCTACATACTTCATTCCTACAGCACTGAACCAATACTTTCCCAGCCCACCTGTGCTGTGTGTCTAGCCTCTATGCCCTTTTGCATGCCCTCCTCTCTGCTAAGAACAACCTCTTCAGCTCTCTCCCTTTCCCAGTTAGCTTCCATGTGTTCTTTAAAACTCTGAAGAAGCCTTCCTTTTATTTCCCTTTCTCCTCAGGATGGTTACAAAAATATATTATTTTTGTAATATATGAAAGAAATGGAAAAGTAGAAGAGGGGAGAATGTCTGGACAGTGAGTTTGAAGGGTTAGATACAAACTGCCTACAGAAGAGATCCTGAACAAGAAAAGTTCAGGCAGAGGAAGATTATGCAGGAGGGCCTTAAAGGAGGGTTGCTGAATCCATTAAAAAGACTAAAACTTCCTTAGCAAGTTCTTGTGAACAGCTCTCACTGTATTAACAAATTATGTACCAGTTATAAATGCACATTTGCATATTTTAAAAAATTCATAAAAATATTGTTTTGCAACCAAGTTATTCTCTGATAATGACAAGCTCAGAAAATGCTTACACAAGAGATAAAAAATAGAAAACAAGGTGGATTTATGTGTAATTATGTAATCTCTGCAATTTTTTCTTTTGGAATCTAAAGTTCTTTTTAATTAAAGTATTGTTGACATACAATATACTAATTTCAGGTGTACAACATTGTAGTTTGACATTTATATATCTTACAAAGTGATCTTCAGGAGGTCTAATAGCCATCTGTCACTGTACAAAGTTATCTGCAGTCATTATTGATATAAATGGTCTGAGAAAGGTGAGAGTTGAAGCCATTGCCTTATTTTTCTTCTTCTCAATGGAAGAGCTAATTACCCTGTGAGTGAGAAGAAAGACAAATCTTAAAATGAACCTTAAGAAAGGATAGATCCTTTTTCAGCCTATAGTTCCTGTTAAGTTCCTGTCATTGTTACCTGAACTGAAAACCACTAAGCAAATAACCACTTGGCTACAGGAATGCCTCTGGTTGGTTTAGTTTATTTTTAAACTTTAAACAGCTCTATTGAGGTATAAGTGACATACAGTAATTTGCATAAATTTAAAGTGTACAGTTTGTTAAGTTTTGACATTCATCACCACAATCAAGATAGTAAATATGTATATCGCCCCACAATGTTTCCTTGTGCCCTTTGTATTTTTTAGAGTGTTAAATAAGTGGTATTATGGTATGTAGTCATTATTTAAAATTAGTTTCAGGTGTTCTAAACAATGCAATAGTTATCCTTTTCACCCCTCACAAAGTGACAACCCCCCTCCTCCCAACCACTGCTCCCCACCCCTGATATCATACTTACCTAGTACAATTCCATTGACTCCATTCCCACCCTCTACTCCACATCCCATGCCTACATGTATATATAATTATAGTTGAATTACAATATTATTCAACATCAGCTTCAGATATACAGTGTGGTGGTCAGGCCTCTACACCAACTATGAAGTGGTCTCCCTAACAAGACATGAGTCCATCTGGCCCCCTAGAAAATATTTACAGCATTATTGATTATATTCCCTAGACTGTTTTTTCTATCCCTGAGTCCATATTGTAGTTATCAGATTATATTGTCTCATCCCTTCCTCTTCTCATTCATCCCCACCCGCTCCCAACTAGCAACCATCAGTTTTTCCTCTATGTCTCTGACACTATTTCTGTTTACATTTCTCATTTATTCAGTTCTTTAGATTCCATATGTAAGTGAGATCATATGGTATTTGTCTTTCTTTGACTGACTTATTTCACTTAGCATAATGTTCTCTAGGTCCACCTGTATCATTGCAAATGGTACGATTTCCTTCTTCTTCATAACTGAGTAATACTCCATTGTGTAAATGTACCATAGTTTCTTAATCCAGTCATCTACCGATAGGCATTTCGGTTGTTTCCAAGTCTTGGCTATTGTAAATAGCATTGCAATGAACATAGGGGTACATATATTTTTTCGAATTAGTGTCTTGGATTTTTCTGGATAAATACCTAAGAGTGGAATTGCTGAGTCATAAGGTAGTTCCATTTCCAGTTTTTTGAGATACCTCCATACTGATTTTCATAGTGGCTGCAACAATCTGCAGTCCCACCAACAGTACACCAGGGTTCCCTTTTCCCCACAACCTTGCCAGCACTTGTTTGTTGATTTATTGATGATAGCCATTCTGGCCGGGGTGAAGTGGTATCTCATTGTGGTTTTTATTTGCAGTTCTCGAATAGTGAGGTTGAGCATTTTTTCATATGCCTGCTGGCCTTCTGTATGTCCTCTTTAGAGAAATGTCTCTTCATCTCCTCTGCCCATTTTTTAATTGGGTTGTTTGTTTTTTT